AGTAAATATGGGTGTCCACAGTGGCTACGGAGTGACCCATAACAACTGGCATCCCATCCAGGGGAAAAAAAGAAACGATATTCTTGTCGTGGTTAAAACCTGATATAAACACCCACCTGACACCTCAATTTATTGGCTCAGACCAGACCGACGCGTAATGAACACAGGTGGCCTTGAGTGCTGGTAGGCTGTTACAGGGAACACATGCTTAATTTGGTACTGGGTTGCGTAACAATGGCATCGATGTAGCTTCATCGCTCTTTCTTCATTGATCAAGAGAGATCCATCGATCGATGTAGGAGAACGATCGATCGATGTAGAACGATCGATCGATATTGAAGAACGGTTGATGTGTTGCCTCCAAGTTTTTGCCTCAGGTGTTCCATGTCATGTAAAGACTGCAAAAACGTAACAGGCCCGCTAGGCCCACCTTCAGGCCGAGGAAACGTTGACGGCATGCCCAGATTGGAGCCAATTGGTGGGGTATGAATGACGGACGCAATCCAAGAGATTTTTTATGCGTTTGGGTGCTGGTTTGAATATCCCCAGCGAAGGTCGAGAACCAGACGGTTGGTCAAATTCTGGGTAGGGACGCGTCTGGATTTGTGTGGTTGATGAGAACACCAGACGGCTGGAAAGTTGGCGTGTGGAAGTTACAGCCTAGTCTGGAGATCTTCTTGCAATCAGACAGTCAAGGAAGTGTTGGAATACCAGGACGTTCAAACCGGGGAACGTTGACAGGCCGAATGACATGGTAGAAAACCCCAAAGGTTTCTTCTGTTGTAGATAAATCAAAGGAATTTGCAATCCAGTGGGGTACATTCGGATGCTTCACATCCACTTTTCGGACCCACATGCGGCTCCCAGCTTGGAATTGGAGTTACCATTCGGAGAGTCTCCACGCGGAACTTTCTGGGACGGACGAACCTGCTCAGAGGCCTCAAGCTCCCACTTGCCGAGCTGTGTCTTTAGTGTGAGGAAAAACATGGAAGATTCAGTCGGCAATGGTCACGGTCGGTCAAGTCAGTCGTACCGAAAACGGATGTTGGGCACCGACCGTCTTGCCAATGTTGGTAGGAATGTAGCTTACAGGCACACCCAAGAAGAGATTTCCAGCCGACGTCTGGCCGACGTCTGGCCGACGTCGGCATGACGATTTCAATCGCGACAAGTCTGTTGAATAATGTTTAATAAGTGGACCGTGGTCGAGGCACAGTCCTGATTTTTTATTATTTTTAGGTCAACAGCAGTCTTTTCAGTGTTCTGCATTTGACATTTGATCAGATTTTTATATCAGACTATATGATCTTACATATTGCAGTCGTCTTTTTCAGTCAACGTTTTTAGGTACTTATTTTAATATGCAGATCAAAAATTTACGCATTGTGAGTGCGGCCGTGTTAACTATGGGGTCCTATCTCTTGATATAACAAACATAATTATTTTCTTGAGCCATGTTAGAGGGAAGACTATATTAAGGCAAGGACAGGTATTGTTTACAAGGAAAACGTGTATATTGTAGTTTGAAGAGTTGAACACGAGTCGATGTTTGCATCCTGAACGTATATATTAATGTTTTTTAACCTGTTTACAATTTTAAACAGAATATTGTTGAGTAGACTAAATACACCCATACTTTTTGGCGTCGCGATTTAGGGACTTTATATTGAAATTGTATAACTTCGCATTCTCAGGGTGTTCTTATAAAAGTGAACCAAGTTTCGATCGAGATAAATGTACATGTATCTGTTTTAATGTGAAAGTCGCTGTGGTAATAAATTTGAATTTCATGTTGATTCCCGGCGAAGAGCCGCTGACGTATTTTGTGGACGACTTATTACTTAATTTAAAAAAATAAAGCTAACCACGAAATAATCACCTCCCCCATCAAATCCTACCTCTGTTCATGCTGAACAGCCGGGTTTCGATACCTTTTATATAGCCAAAAAAAGATACTGCCAGCCACTGGCCAAATTCCATGGGACTATGTATAAACATCTCCGGCACGTGGCCCCACGGAAATTCAATGGGATTATTAACATAGATCGACCCCAGGGCAAGCCAAGGCTTTTCATTCATCAATGCCAGTTGCCTTGTCGATCTGTGTAATATTTTATACACAGGCCTCCGAGTTCATCGTCTCTATCGATTGACCTGATAAATTGACCATATAAAAAAGTTTTTGCACCCTTGTTTTGGATGTTCGGAAAATCTGCGAAAATTGCTCGAAGACAGGGTTGATGTCTCGTACAGATCCCTAAGAGCAATTGCTACCAAGTCCGGAGAAAGAAGAGCATTTTCTTCACACGTAATAAGAGTGATAAGATTGAGAAAAAGGCAGTACACCAGACACCGTGACGAGGCTCTATCCAAATTGGATAAGGTAAGCTTCAGGTTTTACTTGTTTTCTGTCGAGAAGGGGTTCTTGCTGGAAAACTTACCTTTTTAGCGGCAGTAAGTAACTTTGGAATGGACAGAAAGTAGCTGAAGTCGCCTTGGGGTATTAAAGCTACCATCGAAGTCTATTTTGTCGTCTCAGGAAGACACATTCTGAAGGTTGGACTTTGGCTGGACCGGGTCATGATGCGTATCTTGGGTGAGATTGCATGCAATTTCAGATACGTGGGTTGAATGTCTGCTGGACTATCTAAGCCCGCACTGGCAGCCGATGCGTGTCGGCATTGGTTGGAAAAGGTAACAGAGCGTGGATGCAGATCGGCAGGCAAAGGATCCGAATGCGATGGTGTAGGGGGCGCTTTAGGCTTCAGATCGAGGCGACCGTGTCACTGATTGGACCATTCAGCTGTATATCTACCAACCTAATGTTCACTTTTTCAAGCAATCTTTGCCTCGATCTCAAGGTGCAATGAAAACAACGCGTCACAACACTCGACATATGCACAAACGCTGACAAAAACACGGATTGAAATTACGAAGACATGCCTACGTTTCTACATTATATAAAACGCGTATGCTTTTTACCTAACCCCAGACTGATCAGTTCCTAGAGCAATCGAGGGACCCAAGTGTCTGTTTAAAGAATTCTGGGGAGCAAGCCAGCCTCATCATGACTAGGGCTGGGGAAGGGAGAAGCAGAAAGCTGCCATATAAAAAAAGTTGAGTGCGATTTTTTTTTTTACAAAAAATATAGACTGGCAGAACTTGTAAATCTTACAGGGGATTTTCAGTTTCGCTGACATTTCAAAGCAGATTTAACGAATATCATTTCTACTGTAAACTAACCAAGAAGAATCCTCTGTTGTTTAAGATGCTGCAGACAAATAAAAACGTGGAGCTGGGAATTGGAATATGCGTCATGGGCAAAGAAACATTGTGTTTAATCAAGTGTAAAAAATGATGACAGCACAATCCTCCATCTGTTGCAAGCGACCCTCTTAAAACAGGCAGGGTCGTTTAACTGATGGATGAGCGCGCACTAGCAGTCGATCAAAATAAAGCAAATGGCACTTGGGAACTATATGCACATTGTAGGTCAACTATGCACATGTATGTTGAACCTAGTTGCCTCGTTGCAGTTATTGTCAACGAAGCATACTCACGTGAGGAAAAACAAAACGTCATTTTTGCTTTCTAGCGCCTTCGAAGACCCGAAATCCCATGCCACCCAGGCATGCCACATCTCTGTGACTTTTGCTGGTGTTTGTCTCGTAACTCCTGACACAGTGCTCAGAAGAAAGAAAAGGGCATCATACATATGGTAGAAGTTTCTGCATAAAATCGCAGTTTTCCACAAAAATCTGATGAAATCTGTCGGGCCAAAAACACATTTTTCAGAGGCCAATTATTTTAAAAAGTACTGTCATAAAGAAACGTGTCATCTGTACTCGACTGTAGTGACGGAAAAACACACAGTTTTCGGTGGCCCTGATTACTCTGCTATTATCTCGTAAGTACCCACATGCAGAAGTAGCCGCACCGAAACGCGTCTGCTCGCACAAACACTTGTCAAAAGAAAAAAATTAGATTAATTTTAAACTACCAAAAGTTCGCTTATTTGGTTATTAAATCAGAGAGCAGCCTTCGAACGCCAAAGAAAGAAGACTGACCAAGCAAGATTGTAAATACACAAATACAGTCAGTTCATTACGAGAAATTAAGAGACTCAACGAACAACGCCGACAAAAAATAAATTTAAAAAAAGGCGGAGGAAACATTTTCAAGTGGATGTCTAGTTTGGATGTTTGAACTAAAACCAATTTACCTCATTAGCCGTCATACATGTACACGCTGCCACCGGGATTTCAGTTCTGAAGAAACAGTTCAAGGCTATAAGATCGGTCGGCAGTAACAAGGTTTTGGGAAAGTATGGCATCCTCCTGAAGAGTACAAAAGCGTTCTGAAGTGTAGGAGCGTGTCTTCTAAAAAAAAAAGCCCACCTTTTGTTTGTTTGACCCTCTTTTTCTTAGTGTCTTTCTTTTCCATTATCTCAAGAATCGTTTGATGAAACGATATTAAACAGTCGGATCATAAGATGATATTTAGGTTTGGGTGGGTTCGATGGGTTGATTTTTCTGTTTCAAGAACAACTGGTTGTCTTTCAACGACACTTGAGACTTTCAAGCAGGAGAAAATCGTTAATCAATTCTAGCAAATACACCAAGGATTACTCAAAAGCACCGTAGGCACCGTAAGTTCGCAAGCCTGAAGAAACCCGAAGCGAAGAAACAATAAGCAGCAGTTACAATTTTAAAGGTGGGAGGAAAACACCACAAAATCCAGTGGAGACAGAAAACCTAATCTACATGTAGACCAAACCGGTATTCGAACCTACTCCAGGTAAGCTTTTTAGGTAAATGGCAAATTTCGAAAGCATTTATAAAATGAAATTACGCCCAAGATTGAGTGGTTGCAACCCTACACATGTACAAAAGTACACTACTTGCAGACGTGGACAAAAAAGGCTTGCACTTTATATAAGAGTTACTTTGTGGTTAATAATGAAATTTAAGCAAACAAAACAACTGCACATTAATGGAGAGTAAATTTGAGAGCCAACCACTTTATTACTACTATTGCATCACATGTTTTTTTAATACAGCCAACAATAATTCGAGAAAGATTACTCTAAACTACACAATGCTGACAGGCAATATACTGAAACCAACTATGTCTACCTCTACTTTATAAACCTAGAAGTATTTTGAAAAGCGAAATACAGAAGGTATTCTTGTGCTCTTCGCAATTCAGAATTTTAAAAGAAAGTATCCAACCCCCCCCCAAAAAAAATTGTAAGAATTCAACCGCAATTGACATTTAACATCTGAGTTCGTGACAAATGAGTTTCTATTACATCAATTAACAACGCGCACTACGCCTTTCTATATTGGAAGTCCAACAACTATGCCAAAACATCCTCTTGTAGGATGTAAAGCTACAGATATTAATATAAACCCCTTGCCTATATGATTGCCTAAAAAATATGAGAAAAACATTTCACAGCGTTTTATGCTGTCAGATGACAACATTTTGTACATTCATCAAATACTGCGGCCAATGACAGACGTGGTTCTGCAAATACGCCTCAAAAATGGTTTGTTGTAATACTTTCGGGATGTGGTACCTTTAACAGTGAAGAATTAATTTCCAAGTAATTACTTTTTCAATGTTAAACAGTTCCATGTTAGCCTGGGGCGTCTGAAGCGGCATGAGTATGGGGGTAAGATGGGTTTTTCTCAAGTTACCATGTTTCCCGATCAGAACAAAGTTTGTTACCTAAACTTCCCAAATTATCCTACCATTTCTGACGTTTAACGTTTAAATTTTGACTTTTTTGGTGGTTCAATTTATATCCATATACAATGGCTCAGAAAATTAGTATTCAGACCGTATGCTAGTAGAGACTGAGTCTCTATTACTGCGATATCGAGAAATGGTTTATAAGAAGGCCGTTCAAGCACTTTAAAATAAAGATACAAAGATATCTATATATTATATACATATATAATAAAAATATAAAGTAGGGTTATACTGCAGGGCCTTACACACTTAGAAAGGAAAAGGGGAACGGTAATCAATTTTATCTGACAGCCTATACGTCACAAACCTCGTGAAATCAGACCAATCACAGGGCTCTGGCTGTTTTCATGAAATGAGGCGCTTTCCTTAAATGTTGGAGGATATGCAACAACATAAAAAAGGGGAAATTTCGGTTTGCAAATATTGGATTGGCTGTGTAAAAAAGATATCAGACATCACCTGTACGTGTAAAAAAATACGTTTGTACCAATGCGATAAGAAATCCATATTTGCTAACTCAAGTTCAAAGAACGTTGAAGTTGGACGAAAATTTTGGCGATGACCACTGAAACATAGTAGGGGCACGGGGAGAGGTCAATATGCACACACGTGGTAACACTCCTGAGTAAAAATCTACTTCTATGCACCCCTGATTTTACCTGGGTTAACCAGTTACCAATTACAGGGTAATTGGTATACACAGGTAACATCAGGGGTACATGGAAGTTAACCATGTAATTGTTGTATCTTCATTGGAATGTACACCTAGATTTGAGCATGCTTCAGCAATTTATGCGGTAATGGAGCTGTCTATACTTCTGTAAGGCTAGAGAGAGTAGCGCCAGCTTCAGATTTTGGAAAGAAATTGGTACAATAGTAGGTACGGGTAGTGTTCTCCCCCACAGCAGTGAGGGATGAGTCACTATATATATCCGATTTACCAATACGCCTTTTCCCGTTCTTGATTTTGATCAAATGCAGTACACCCTTTATTACTACAATGCACCGCGGCGCTACCGCTATGTACGTCCTTTTTCGGAGTGCAAGGTCCGAGCCAAAGTGGCGGAGGACGGGAGGGCGTCGACTGTTCGCTTGCAGCCCCGTCCCACAACACTGTGGGGGAGTACTCCACTGCACTTATCCTACCCAAACAGTCCCTGCCTCTGCAGAGTAGCACCGTACTCTGGAAGAGGGTTGGCAAGGAGACACTAAAGGTGAGGAAATCCGTGTGGAATGATGAGGACCCACCAAAGAAAGGAGGCCATTACGTAGAGCAGCAGGTGGCTTGCCCAGTGTGGTCCTTGTGGTTTCGTTGAAGAGGCTAGTATTGTCTCGATATCTTCAGGACACCGCCAAAGAATATCGGCAAGGTAGATACCGTTCTAGCATCGTGAGCTGCGATAGGGCGGCTGGGTTTGTGATTTAGGAAGGTCGACCATTTTTGACAGGCGAACGTGATGGCTAAGGAAACCCAACTAGCCGTTGTGTCTCTGATTGCTGCTCGATGAGGTTTACTAATGTAATGACGGAAGAAATTAGAAGATCTCAGCTTTGAGTCGTGAAAGGACGGCAAGGTTTGCTACTAGGCTGTTCTTATGAAGTTCGAGACGAAGATATCTTATTGGTGGGGTGAATTCGAATAGGACCGTGTGGGCTTCTAGGGCTAGGGTGACATAGACGCCGATCATCCGTGATAGATACTATCGGTAATCCATTGCCTCGTAACGCAGAGTTACTAGAGGTAGAAAAAGCAGCTTCAATGAGGTGAGTGATAATGAGGTCTTGATAAAAGGCGCGGAGGGAAAACTTTTGAAGTGCTCAAAAACATAAGATATGCCCCACCAATGAATGAGTTGTCTTAGTGGGGAACGCTCAATAAATATCTATGTACTAAGAAAAGATAATTGAGGCCATTTTTTTCCGAGGGAGTGGAGCCATCAGGGAAAACCTGAGTGAAATATAGCCATGACGACAGAACGGTAGTTGCGTACGAATGCTAAATGTAGTTTGGAGTAAGTAGGGATAAGAAAGTCGACCACTGCGGTTGCAGGCGTGTTGGTAGGAAACACACAACGACCTGCCTGCCATAAACGTAGAAAATTGTTGTGTGTTGGTGTAGCCTCAGTTCAATACCACAGCCCATCGCCAAAGGGGGCAATTGTCTGATCAAACAGGACAGATTTGCCCTAGCCGTTGTGCTGCAGGGACACATTGCGCTGGAGATCGCCTGGAGTTCCGCACTTTGAAGAGACTTCCCAATAACTGAGACCTGGAAGGTCTCATACCTTTTACATACCCCATGTAAACCTAGACGGGTTGGTAGAAAGTCATTGCCTAAGGATCTATCTTTGGGAGAGGGAGGTCGTAAACCAGATGTTTCCGTGTCAGCTACCAGCAAAGTCCTGACTGGATGAGGTCCATTGTAAAAACTGGGAGATCGATCAGGACACATATTTTGGACGGAAGAACAGCAGTAAGTGGGCTGGAGGGGCCCTACTAATGAAAACGTTAAGAGGTATCAGGTCCACCAGACTCATCATCAGGCCGAAGAGTTGTGTTTGTGTGCCTGAGCACAAGAAGAATCGGGAACTGCATCTACACCAATCAGGGCATGAGTTTGGGACAGATCTGAATATTCCTGAGTGATGAACAGCAGACGGCAGCTCATAAGGCTAGTGTTGACTGCAGTCTTGCCTGGATAACTGTCTACGCCCAGTTAGCTGTCGAAATGTTCGAATGTCGGAATGGTGAACTGGTGTAGGTAGGCGGCCAAAACTTCAACCATTTGGGTATTAGACGTCGAGTGATCAAAGGGCAGATCGAATCCAGAAAATTCTTCCAGTGTACAGGAATCAGAGGAATCTGTAAATCCCTATATGGACTGAAGGCGTGAAAGTAAGTGATTTTCAGATCAATCAAGTATGGCCAGGATAGAGTCGATAGGGGTTGACACACTGTGGAGTGTTTGTGATCCCCCATGCAGAACCTAGGGGTGAATGAACCTCTGTTTTCTCTGTATTTTTTGTCTCCAATCCAATGCCTGCCCATTCGATCTTGTCCGAGGGTTTGGAGTAAAGAATTTGGTCAAACATAACGGCACTCGTATCCCAAGGAAAACACCGAAGGGCAAAAAGGCCCGGGGCGTGGATATCAAGTCAGTGTAGCAGGCCGGTGGATTCGGATGCCAGGGGTGCCGCCTGGGGAGATGTGGCCACAGATCCGCATTCCAATGACATATTTACCGGGACAGCCCCAGGAAGTGACAGGGTGTCGGTCCGGTAGCGCTATTCTCTATTTCACGCCTAGATGCCCTCGTTGAAGAAATCTCGGTCGACGGAGGGCTGATGCGTACGTAGCAGGCCAGTGGTTTCTGTTGTATGTGTTACGGTCTACGTTGTGCCCGTGTGGCTTGGCATTGTATCCACCAGGACCGTCCCAGGTGTCAGTGGGGGAGTAGCCCAGGAAGGTGTAGTGTTTTATTTACGCACGGCTGACCCTTTGGAAAGGGGTCTAAGGGCGGTGGCTCATGGCGTGAGGTGGTCGACTTAGCTGGCATGAGTAGTGTGGGGTCAACCCTCCGTGAGCCTTTGTGAGCCATGCCAGCAGAGTGCGGTATTCTTCGGTAGTAGCTGTTGGAATGAGAATTGCCTCAAGAGATCTCGTCATCCCGTTAGCGACACTCGGGGAACTGGGTGTTCTGACCACTTGCACCACAGCTCAGACCCCTGTGCGCACTTGGTGTTGGCTAATGCTGGTTCTGCGTAGAATCTACGTCAGAAACCTGCAAGCATGCACAAAGAAAGAAAAAAACACAAAAACAACACCCACATAGGCAGTAATTATGTACATGTACAAGAACCACAGTTTATTGCGGATATGTTTACAGTTGATCCATGAAACAAAAACTCAGAAGGAGTTTGAACTGCCAGACTCATCGAGCACTTTGAAGTGCCAGAGTTGCAACTCTTTCTGCATCCTTCCTCCATGGTTGATCACATTACCACAGAAAATGGAGCAAAAGTGGAAACTCGAAAATCTCAAAAATGCAAAAGACACTATCCATTATCGATGGCGCTAAGAAAAAGAAGGACGAACATGACAGCAGTGCCACGGCACACTGTGGTAATAGAGGGCGCACTAGAGTTGATCAAGGTTTAACGAATGGCAAAAGGCAAAAAGGGAATTTGCAGAGATAGTGACCGTTTGGGTAGGATGAGCGCAGTGGACTATACCAACTGTCCAAATGCACTGATGCATACACCTGTCAGTTTGTTTTTGAACAATGTTGACACTAATGTCACAACTCTCTACATGGCTCTATGATAGTACAGGCTCATAAGCCCTTAATGTAAAATGTGCGTGCGTGTCCTTTGTCTTCCGTGTATTTTGTTAAATCAGAGTGCATTTTGAGAGGCTCTAGCTTACTACATTTGTAATGATCGAATGTACAAAGTTCATTTCCCAAATGAGCGTAGTTATCATTAAATAATTATTCTTGGTACTGGTAGGCGAAACGTACCCAGAAAGTGAGTACATTTTCTGAGCATTTTTCTGAGGCTAATAATGTTATACATTGACCATAACAATGTTTCCATAAGCATCTTTTTGGATTTATCAAAAATTTTTGATACTGTTTCGATCATTAATTGGAACATTAAACTGTGCATGAAATAGCCCAAGATTTGTTTACAGTTACTTTATGCCAGCGTGTATCAATTCACACAGTTATTTTATTGTTAAGGGGAAAGCATGTTCTACAGTTTCAAAATATTCATGGGCACAAATGAGAAATTTTGACGTGGTCTACGCAAAAAAGAATGATTTAAACTTGTCGCATTTATCATCACTACCCCTAGGCTGCATAAACATTTAAAAATTCGATAAAGTAAGAGCATTCAATAAAATCAGTAATGAAAATAGCATTCTTGGCTAAATACAGAGTATACGTGTACTTGGCTAAATCGTTGTATACATGCAGAATTTGTTTCACTCTTTCCCTGTTTGGGCAACTCTAAAGTTAAATCATTAGTAAATGCAAGCCTTTACCCCATTTCACCTCAATACTCTGGAAAACGTTGTGGTTTATGTAACTTTTAAGTGACATTCCATACAATGAGATGATCTTTTGTTACATGTTATAATAATTCAGTCCTCATATACATTGCAGTAACACATTATCATGAGTGATAACACTTTGCCACAGATACCAATTCTTACATCATGCCTACTTTTCGTTGGTCTTTTTTGTTTCCGGAGCGTTCAAAAAACATGAAGTCCTGAAAGGGAAAGAAAACAAAACAAAGAAAATTAAAATCATCAATCTTACTGTATATTTTTTATGAAAAATGAAACCATGAAAAGCTTAAGAAATTATTTACACGTATGAAGCTTATGTGTGTGTGAAAAAGAAGCCATGGAAGAGGCTTTCCACTGATATGCTTTCTTGCAAGTAAAAAGAAAATAACATTGGTAAACACTATGTAGACCAATATAAAAATACATATAAATATTTAAAATACAGTAATGTTATGCAATAACATTACAATCCAAGCACGTGCGAACTGAACACGCATACATTTTGTTTGTCATATCATCAGTCGACCAAAGATATTTCAGTTATATACCACTTTTTGAAACGAACTTCAAAGTTTGACGTCATATTTAACCTAAATAAAATCTGCATGGGTTACATTCGCAGTGGAAATATTGAGATGCCATTTGTGAGAAAGGCACAGATGAAGCAGATCGGTCAACTTTATACTATGCCATCACAAAGCTAAATTATACTAGTGTACATGTACATGTAACTCTGAACAGGCTTGGCTTATTCAGAACATCCCACTGCCACTAAGATCTGGGTGTCTTGGCATGCAATATATTTGACATTCTTGAGTAATTGTACATTTGTAATGTTTCAACTGAATCCAACCTAGAATCTTTTGGGTTTTTTCATATATCCTGGCATATTTCAAAAACTCATATTGTCACACATAATAGAAGACTCCCACAGGCTTGGAACCATATTTAAAAGCGTATTTTACCCCCCTTTTGTTTTATGCTAATGAGCATAGATATATCAATAGCTTTGCTCATGAGCAAAACTGTAATGGCATCCCAGGAAGAAAGCTTCAAAATTACATTAGTTTGTACCAAAAAGGTCCTGCAATTTTATACATTTTGCAGGACTAACTTTTCTTTTCTTTGCTGATTCATTTTTTTATGTGCATACACATGTAGTTATAAGTTATATATCAATAAGTTATAAGTTGTGTATCAATCCCTCTCTCAGAAATGTTTTCAGTGAGTAAATTCTGGGTCCACAGTTTGAACAGAAAAAACCTATGCACTGAACTATGTCTTCCCTAGAAGACTTAACAGAAGTGCCCTTCGGTTGACAGGAGGGAACAGATAATTTTAAGTGTCTAGAACAGTGCACTTTTCAATCTATTTAACCCTTTTAAGAAACATAATTTTTTCATACAATGAAGAAGACAACAAAGTTGTTGAAAATTTAAAAAAAAAAAAAAGAAAAATTCATGGCAGCAACACTTTTGCTCTCTGTGGTAAATGCACGTGATTAGTTCAATGTTTTAAAGACACCATGTAATAAAATTGTTTTACAGCAACTCTTCATACTGTAAGAGTAATGTTCCAACTAACCTGATTTTCATTTGTGCCTTGCTATTTTAAACCTGTATTTTGGAGCCTCTTGGGTTATGAATTATGACATTCATGAGCAAAACTATGTTGTCATCAAAGGCACGGAACCTCAGCATTGTATTGATTTGCGCAAGAAAAACTGCTCTTGTTAATGTTCATTTCTTTACCAATAACTCGGCAAGTATCACTTTTTCCAGTAATTTTTTCAAAGATCAAATTTGGGGTTCAAAATTTGAACCTAAAAATGTAAATTGAAAAGTGTCTTCCATGATAAAAACATCACAGCAATAACACCTTCACTTTCCTGACGGAAAAGCTTGGACAACTTTTAATGTTAAAAAGTGCACTTTTCAATACACTTACCTCCAAAGGGATTACAAATAGTTTCCATACATTTAAAGGATCCAGGAAATGAATTTTTCTTGGAATCACTTTTTGTGTACCTCTGTAATATATGAAGACTGTTTGACATCTATTTTGAGTTACGTGAACTGAACCGTGCACTTTTTCACACATTAAAAATTGACCAAGCATTCCTGGACAAGTAAGGGCACTTTTGCTTTGATGTAAATCCAGGAAGACATGCTTCAGGTTGCATGTTTTCATGTTCAAATTGTGAACCCCAAATTTGGTATCTGGGAACATTTCTGTGAAAAGGATTTTAGCTGGATTATTGCCATATACTTACACAGTAATAAATTGGCCAAGAAAATGAAATCTGCCACAGCAGTGGATAAAAAATTTAGGAATTTTCTGTGCACAAATCAGTGCAACATTGAGATTCAGGACCTTAGATGACATCATAGTTCTGCTCATGAACATGCAAATACGCATTAGCATAAAACCAAAAAAGCAGCAAAATATGGGTTAAAATTGCAAAACAAAAATTTAAAGTCAGGTTAATTTAAACCCAAACTTGCAATTTCAAGGGTTTTTAGTAAAAAATATAAAAACATTTCTATTTCCTGGTTCCTTTAGAAAGACTTTAAAGATGTACACAATGTGACTCTACCAAGAAAAAATAACAATTGTACGGAAGCTTTAATTCCATTAGGCAGTATTACAAACAAAATACAAAAGCGATGAGTCTTTCATCCTAACTTCTCAGAGGAAGAGAAATTTCAATTGAATGGGATTTGTTATGTGTTTTGTTGCCTGAAAGGTCAAACCACTATACTAGTTGACATAAGAAAACAAATTGCACTGCTGCAGTAAATCAGAACTGCTAGGCCCGCTTTCATGTCGGAAGCAATAGACCATTTCAGACTAATTTCATGTCTAGAAAGTTTATTATGGTACCTGGCATCCACAGGAGACCAGGAGACCAACACATGGCAGAAGTCCTCACTGTGCCCCAACCCAGTACGAAGGTGACCTATCACAATTGTCACCAGTGAAGGGAAAGGAAAGCTGGCTAACATCACTCATTTAAGGGTTCTGGCAGATATTGAGAGAAGGGTACTCAGATATGGAAGGCTCCTGAAACCCATCCAGCAAGCCCAGCTTGCAAGGGCAACACAACATGGCCAATAAGGCAGGTAAAGGAAAGCATCTGCTTCAGAGAGATGTGATCAAAGTCTCCAGTACAGGGTGAAAGGCCCAATTCTGTAGTAGCTAATAAAGCTGTTGAAAGAGTTCTGACTATTTGGAAGAGATGTGGGTCCATCTAGAATGGTTTTAGGCAGAAAAGTGTCATATTGAGGGTAAGAACTGTGCCTTCTGTTTGAGTGGAATGGGTGTGGAGCACCAGAGGGGAAAACATAGGCCGTAGTGGTGGAGCTGCTTAATGTGCCTGTGATTTAGTGACAGTGAACTTGTTTGTTGGCCAAATGAGTACATACTCCAGGGGAGTAGGTATAGCAGTGGCTGCAGTGAGGGTCCTAGTAGAATGTGTCTGACAACTAGACTTCTTGGACTTAGATTGGGAAGAGGTTGCTCTCCTAAAATGAATTAACACTTTGGTGTGAGGCCAAGAAGGGGACATAAAAGTTTGGGAGAAGACCTGGCTCAAGAAAAGTAAATACTCAAGGAAGATGTCACATGTAGAAGAGACTTGGGGAAAACTACTGCTCACACGCCGTGAACATACACCATTATGTAGACTTTACCATGTGCAGAGGTCAACAGGGTCAGCTCAGTCTAAAGAGTTAGAGGAGACTGCAGAAAAGGAGGCATATCTTCTGCAGACAGATAGGTATCACCCACTAGACAACAGCCAGCATAAGCAGTGAGTCACTGCAGATGGGACATATCACTTCCTTGTACAAGCCTAATGCTGCCCTGCAATAAAAAGAGCGAGTCAAGTCGCTAATTTTGGCAAATACCATTCCATTGATAACAAAGCTGGGCAAAATGTACATATACTGTAGTTTAACTCCAGCACTGATGATCATGCTTTGCAAAATTTTCATTTAGTGCTTGGAATCAAGTACATGCCATTTTCTGTGCAATGTACTCAAATCTCAGACCTTATTTTCAGTTTTGAGTATTTTTCCAAGATTTATTATTTACGCCAATTAATTCACACAATAATGTATGGGAAGCACAGGAGTCAAGTAAAAGTTTGCCAGACTTCAGTTCACATGGAAAAGGAGTGTTTAGCATCCAACTCCGTAACTATCATGGCACAGCACACCACATCATTCAGAGTTTAAGAAAATACTGTGACATCTTTGATATTCATGCCATCTGTACAAGTAGTTGGTGGTGCACTGTATGACCACTATTTTGTGACACAAAGCATACTAGTGTTCAATGGACTGTGAGACATGAACAAATGAGAAGAGACCAGAGAGAAGCTCATTTGTTGACTGATTGGAAGATCAGAGATTTCAAATTAGAAGTAACCTACTGTATGGATCTAAGTTAATGACAATAACTCACATATTAATAATGTAAAAAGTATCAAACTTCATAGAAAAGTTACCATGTCTCATCTTTCTTTGTGCCAAATTGCTACATTTCAGCTAACAAGAGGAAAGATTGATACCAGTGTGCATTTTATCTCCTCAGAAATTATTTGAAGAACACTGATTTTTCAGGCAATGATGCATGGCACTTCTTTGAAAATAATTATAAAAAATGCAATGAAGAGAGATGCGTGTATATTAAGAATGAACAATAGTGAATGTTACCAGAAACAGAGGAAACTTTATCCTCTATGGATGAATATAGATGCTAACAGCAAACTGAAAACCAAATACAAATCCTGCAAGTATAACCTACATGTAGTATAAGAACAAGGTAGAAGTGCATATACATGTAAGTCTCAGCTAAAGATCAACTCCCCTCACTCCAAATCAATCTGAAGAGAATTCTTGGACAGCAAATCGAAATCTGCCTACTCTACTGTGGAATGGGATTATTCAGCAGACTGCCCACGCTATGTAGTATTGTGTATTGTCTATGTAGTTCTGAAAAGGACAACTTGCTCAGGTCTATTCATGATTTTTAAATGCTTCTGCTCTCCCAGCACCCCTACTGCAATGCTTATATTGTCTCCTGTATGCACTTTGATTACTGAATCAGGCAACTGTATGGACTCTGAACTGTTCATGTTAAGCAACTGTGTGCTGTTCAATTAAAATGCTACAGGCACTATTGTATGTACCGCAATTTTTTATGCAAGAGAAATCTTTCGTCAAACCACGTAATGAGTCATACGAGTATATGATGACGCAAATATCTATTAATATCTTTCATACGCATTGGTCTAGTGATAGCTTTTTCTAGGTTTCAGTGTTATTAATACACAATTCTCTTGATCTCAGGTGTTAACTTGGAAGCCAAAAACGTGGACATTCAAAATAATTAGCAATGAACAGTGTGCTTTTATATCCATACATGTTTCTTTTTCTTGGTAATCGAGGAAAACTTGATGCTCAAAGAGAGAACTAGCATGCTTGACAGTACGATACTGAAGTAAATAAGGGTATCTTACAGTCATACCCCAGAACGACTGTAAGGAAGGGAATAGTAAATTAATGCACTGTCCGATTCCCAGAGTTTGGAAGGACTGAATCCACTGCACCAATGTCCCTTCGAACTAGTACGAAATATCTACTGATCTGGGACCTAATGAAAAAAAAAGGTGGAGAAATCATACACCACAAGAGAAAAATCAAATAACAAATGCTACATTCCTTGTTTAAACTTTATCACGGGACCTAGAAGATATATACAAGAAGGGAAATCCGGGATATATACCAGAATAACAAAACAGGACGTTCCTCCGTTAAACTTTATTTCAGTAACTGGAAGATATGTACAAATATACAAGGAGTAAATATGCAATGTCTAACAGGCAAGGGAAAGTCTAGGGACAAGACCCGACTAAGGTCAAGTCTAGGCGAAGGTCAAGGGAAAGTCTGCCATCCGTGCAAGACTGAACACAAATATGGAAAAAGACTTCGAAAAGCGATAAAAGGAACAGTCCTACCATTCAGAAGGACGAGAATGACCAGGGAAGAAAGAATAAGGGAGTTGATCGAGAAATGAAATGGCACAAAGCTTAGTGAAGGAAAACTCTCGAAAATATCAGAGCTGGACAAGAGGACGTCCATTAGTAATGGCCCTAAGAAAAGAGCAAGATCATAGTGGCCACTTCCGCGGGAGTTGAGCGAGTGAGGGCGCACTTCCAATTGATCGAGAATTTAGCAAATGGAGTAATGGACATAATTAGGAAATAATGCATATGTATTGGTAATCTGTCTAAGTTGCAGGCAGTAGACTGGTGAATTCAATCCAAAATTTTGTTCTAAATTGCTATTAAATAAGTCATTACAGGGATAACCTTAACGTGTATAAGACAGTTTCTACTATACACTGTACTTACAATTAGGAAGCAGGCTCCCAGCATGACTGCCTTCATTTTCACATCCAAATCCATGGGAAATGAAATACCGAAGTTATCTGCATCAGTAAATACCTCCTTAGCAAATCCACTCCACTGTTTGGATATTTTTCCAACTTTTGTGTTGCCATCTGCTGAAAGAACCTGTCAAATAAAAGTCACAGATATGGGCACTTGCATTTCAGTTTTTTTTACTGTTCCTAGTTTTATTTTGAATTAAGGCAGCATTTCAGCTAGCCTTTTTCAGCTTTCTGCAGGTGGGGGAATTTACGGCCCCGTCCAAATCTAGTGATTGTTTCCACACAGTGGCCTTACATGATATTCGGTTTAAAGATGTGGCCCGTTCAATTATGACCCTAATCCTATGATTTTCCAAAACAGACCAGACAGGTTAGTCTGCAGTCCTGTGTTTTCACAAAAATGGGTCATCTCCATTGTGCCCAGTTTGTGAAGTAACCCAATACCTATGCCCACAGATGCCAGGAGTTAGTCCTCTGTACATTCATTTTGATGGGTCCCCTTAACTTCCTATCAGTTTCACCGCATCTTCCAAACATGCATGAGGAGCCTTGAGTTACCCCCTCGGATTTTTAGCCAACATAGTTTTCGGATCATGACAGCTGCAGAGGCCACTATTAATGGGGTCCCCAATTCACAAATCCAGTCAATGGGCCGGTGCCACCATGCCACCATGCAGGACATTGACCTGGTGCGGTTTGCGAGGCGCTCAATTGGAGGCCCTAGTTCCAACATTGCGACGGCAACTCTGCAGCAACCATGTACCACACATGATACTCATCTATTCAGGCACTAACAACCTGTTCTCCACTCCTGTCAAGGAGATTAGGCAACAGATAGAGGAGGGATTGCACACCACACGTAACATATTGCCAGAGACAACCATAATTTTTGGTCTGACATTCTCACATGACTCTTTTATTTTGAGGAGTTGAGAACGAAGCGCAGGCAAAAAGAATGTCCGTGCCTTAAACAGATTTGCTCAGAGAATCTGCGTGAAATCGGGAAATGCACACAGAACTGTTCACAAACACTGTTGACACACACAACCTCACAGCTTCACAGCATGCATTGCACTGCAGTGATGGGAGTCCACTTGTCTGTACTGGGCAATGAGATACTCTGCAACAACTTGCACTAAGCGATGGGATATTTTGCTGTGAAGCTGCACTCATCCTGTATCCACTCTCTCATTCTCTCCCCGGCGCAAATCCATCGAACAATTTCGGAGGAGGGCTTGCAAAATTATTTTGGGATGGGATTACGATCATTATGATGATGCTTGTAGAATTCTCTGCCTTGACACTTTAGCCAACAGGCGAGAAGACCATTGCCATAGTTTTGCAAATAAGATCCTTTCAATCCCTGTACTAAGCAATTGTTTCCCCTTTCTAGGCTTGAAAGCCATGGTAGGAATCTGCGGAATAGTAGAAGCATCACTACTAGGCAGTGGGGCAACCCTTCATGTCATTCCATTTCATCTGACAAAATACAGGCAACCTACAAATTGTGTAAAGTTATAGTTTAAAATATGCTTAGCAAGACTTTTGCTTCAAGGATGTTAATTGATTTTGGAGTTTTGCCCTGCCCGACGTGTATTTTAACACTGTATACTCAGTGTATGCCCCCAAAGGCTTGTGAAAAAAACCACAAGCGTACTCGGGTGCGATGCGAACCCACAACCTCCTGCTTACTAGTGTAGATGCCGTAACTGCTCAACCACCGAGCTTGCTGCTGTTGGCTGGCTGGTTCAAATCAGATGTAGCAGCGGGTACCGCGAACATGGCTGCAGCACAGCTAGAATATCCTGCCAAGCAGAAGGGTCATTGGGCAATGTCCAACAAGTTAAGTGTAGGTTCTGGATGAGGGATCCCTGACTTGGGCTATTGGAGGATAAAGAGGTTATGCTTACAGTTGCACTATGTAGAAGAAAATATCTCTTTAATGAACGTGTGGTTCTGAGAAGAACTGATGGTGCCCTAATCGTCTTCAGGAGGGTGACTGGTTGCCTGGCTCTGAGGATGCTGGTTATCAGTGCTGGAGAGGATGCTAAGGGTGCATTGGAGCAGAAAGAATTGCTCGTGGTGGATCTGTGGGCTGAAAGGCTATTGAGTGCGTTCACTGATGCATGGCAGTGTGGTGTAGGTTTTAGTGGGACAAGGAACTAGTGACCGTGGGCATAGATGATCCGTTGGTCGGGGAGGTTAATATGGAGTGCTACATGCTGCTGATGTGGAATCCAACGTCTTGGGGTACTGTGTCATGCTTGTATATCTCGATAGCTTCCCTGATGTGTCTTGGGTACAATCAGTGAGAAAGGTGGGAAGGTATACACTAGTAGGCCTGTCCAGTTAATCTGTAGAGCGTCCGTGGCCCACGCCCATGGATGCACTGCTCTGCCTTGCTGAGAGGCTTGGAGGGATGACCTGCAAGGAGCACAAGGACAAGATACAGGTCACAACAGGAAATGAGCTGTCTTGAAGGGGAACGCTCAATGAACATACAAAGAAGGAGGTGTTGTCTGGGGAAGTAGAGCCATCAGGGACAACCACCGTGGATAGTGGTCACGGCAGAACGGTAGTTGCGTATATGATTGTTAACTGGATTCCTGACTCAAGTAGGTACAAGAAAAAGTTGGCTACTGGGGTTATAGGTGCCTCGGTTAGAGCCACACATTGTCCGTCACACCATGACGTAAAAGGCTGTTTTCTGCGGATATAGACTTATACTAGCAGCCTGATTAATCGGGCATCAGGGCAGGTGAGGACAGAAAGGGGCAAAGGGAAGAACATGGTAACATTCCTGATCGATCCTGACAGAACTGCTGGGATTAGGGGTGACGGAGGAAAGGCGCACAGGTACATTAACCTTCCCAGTTGAAATAAAGGATATCTGTAGCGCAGGTCTGTAGGTGAGGGAACTTGGTGCAGAACGTATGCAGCTGTGCATTCTCTGTCAAGGTAAAGAGGTCAATTTGTAGATTATTGAGTACCTCAAAGATTTACTTTGCCATGCAGAGTTTGCTCTGTCAAGTGAATCCTTCCCTGAGAACAGACATCTGCAATGGAGTTCTTGGCTCCTGGGATGTGGGTTGTCTTCAAGTCAATCCCGGAGTCCAATGCCCAGGGGAACATTTGTCTTGTCAGGAGGCCGAGGCGTAGTGAGTGTGTGCCTCCTTGGTGATTTATGTATATGGTCACTGGTGAGATGTCTCATCGAATCAGGACATTTGCCTTAATGGCTGTACAGAAGTGACGCATCACACTGAAGGCTGCTTGAAGTTCCAGAATGTCAATGTAACTTCACAATAACTGAGGCACCCCTGTGCCTGCAACCTGGAAGGTAGGGAAGGGAAGTACCGCATCTAAATTGGGATGGATCAGTAGAAATCGTGAATCCATCTCTGGGAAAGAGCACCCGCAATCTAGATGGTTCCATATCAGCTACCAGTGAAGGTGTGACCGGATGAAGTCCTTTATGAAAATTGGGAGGACAATCAGGTCACATTTGGGCTGGAAGAATAAAAGTAGGTGGAGCTGGAGGGGCTTCATATGGTCCACCAGGCTTGTCATCAGACCGAAGATGGGTTGTGTTGGTGTGATGGACCCCTGGCAGCGGTCAAGAACTGCACCCAGGTAAATGGGAGTATGGGTAAGAATGGGTCTAAATTTTTTGTGGTCGATGAAGAACCCGAGACTGCTGGTAAGCAAAGTAAGGATGGTGTAAACTGCAGCCTAGTCTGGAGAACTGCCTAGAGTGAGTCAGCACTCAAGAGTTTCAAATGTAGGAATGACTAACTGGTGTAGGTAGGCCACAACAATTTTCGCCATTCAGGTGAAGACCACTGGGGATGTTGAGAGACCAAATGATAGGCCAAATCTCGAAGGTTCTTCTGTTGTATATGAATCAAGCATATGGATGGGGATCGGCAGGTAGAGGGTTAGGATCTGGAGTTGTAGTGGAGGTGTAGGCTTCGGATCGAGGTGGCTGACCAGTGAAGAGAAAATCTCAGAGAGAGGCTGGAAAGTGGAGATGATAGCTGAAGAAAAGGCATCATGAAGTTTGGAGGAACGTCACTTCTTAAGAGTTAAACCAGCAATGGATCAGTGTAGCACAGAAGATAGAGCGAAAAGGAAAACTCAAAAAACTTGAAGATGACATGTCTGTAATAGCGATGTGCACTAAGAAAGAAGGATGAACATGGTGGTGGCGCCACGCTATGCCATAGCACTCGAGGGCACACTACAGTTGATCAAGTTTCTAGTAAATGGCAAATGGCGGGAATGGAAATCTGCATATGTAGTAAATGTTTAGGTAGGTTGAGCGCAGTGGACTTATACATGTATATTTCATTTCTATAGATTAAATGTAAGGAAACTTACATCAAATTCCACATCTCCACACAGGTTCCAGGTGCACAGAGGTCCCTCAATGCGCAGAATAGTAGTTCTGCTTGCATCTTCTATGGTGAATTTAGGAAAGCACATACTCCATGACTGACACACATAGCCAATGACTGTGCCTGGGGGGGATGACACTTCCACTTTCTGAAGACAGCTAATTGTACAGTGAGAAATAAAATTCACCATTAACATGATTCTGTCAGGTACTGCACTAAATGTAACAACACCATACACAAAGATGATTCCTAACAGTGTGCTGTAAACACACTGTAAGAAACCACACTGATTGATTTAAGTTGGGTATTTTTAATGAAGGAGTAACAATGCATTTCTTTCCAAAGCTGTAAACCCTAAATCCCCTCAATCCTTTCAAATCCCTCATGTGGTGTTGGAGGATTTGGGATGATTGAGGAAGACTGGCAAAAAAGTTTGGCTGATTGTAAAGGACGCATTGTGTCAAGGTTTAGGGTTAGAGCTTGTGATTTTTTATGCTAAGCCATACCTAAATTTATGTCTAGATTGTACATGAAGCCATTCAACCGCTCCAGGATACCATTTGCTTGAGCGTAAATACAAAGACAGTAATTTCCAATGGAATTTTGAAAGATTGAGGCAGTGGGCACCCCTCAAAGGAGCATATTTGAGAAATATAGGTGGATTTTGGAGGATTGAGGCTGAATGCAATTTTTTTGTAGAGGACTTTGAAGGAGTGAGTGTGGTGCCTGGCAAAAAGGCCAAGAGGGTTATAGGTTTATCCGTGTATGGTCAACGCATTTGCATATAAAATAACAACTGATGAAGATATCAGCATTGAAAATTGAAAAGTGGCCTCTCTGAGGCATGATTGGTACCTTGTATTGTGAATAGCTCCTAATGAAAGGCAATTTCAATGTTGCAATGTCCCCCATGTCCAAGCCAACTTACATTTCTCTTCTCTGAATTCCAATCCATTCAGAATAAGCCTGTCGACCATCTTAAATTTGTTCTCGAAAACAACTTTGACATAGTTGCTATTGCTGGAATTTGGTTGAAATCTGGGGATGATTTGACTACTGCTGGGTTAACATAAGCTGGTTATTCATTTTATCATGTCCCTAGACTTAAATTTTCAAAAGGGGTCAAATTTCTCCATAAGCCTACTCAATCAGTAACTGCCAAATATGATTCTGGAGAATATCTGCATTTGAATCCATCCATGTCATGGTCACTCCAACTCCAGATCAGTTTGGCTTGTGAATGTTTATTGCTTGTGAATGTTTATCAGCGCATTTGAACATATCTATATGAAATTTGCACTTTAAAAATGAATAAATTATTAGTAGTAGTAGTACTGCCCTGCTAAAGGCACATCTGGTCGCCATATCAACATAACCTCATTCCTTCAGAAGTTTGAGAATATGATTGAATTGTATCTATTGATCCAAGGAACAATAACCCAGGGATGTGCTAACCGCGAGTGGCCCCAGTGCAAACATATGTGCGACATGGGTTCCATGCGTGTTACGGATTGTTATTACCCCTGCAGGCCCTCTCGACTTTCTTGAGAAAACTCGCGACCACATGACACGCGTTGCAGCGTGTACAATGCAGCCATGGTTATGCCGAGAAGACGCGCCGACGCGGTGCTTAAATCTATTCGTTTTGGCGAATAAATCTTCTTCATTTATCGATTTCAAGGAGAAACTAAGTTTTAATCAGGCAAAATTCCCCAATTTTCTCAGAATGTATAGGATGAAATATCTTGAGCAGCATATTTGTAGAAAAGGTGTACCCTGACTTAAAATATTACAAGAAAACAAAGTGGTAGACAGGAATATATGTTTTATTATTAGAGAAAGTGTTACATAATCCAACTTATTTTCTGCTTTGATATTGTGCCGGCCGTAACAAGCACTGAACCAGCTCTGAGCTTAAGATGCACATCCCTGGGTAAACGGTCCGTGGTTGCACCCATCCGACCTCATTGTTACAGGTGATTTCAACATTCATGTTGGCAACCCTCTAGACCCTGCTGCCAATCGGTTTAAGACTCTCCTTGCATCATATGGTCGTGTTCAAAACATTACTGAGCCAACTCATTGTGCAGGACATCGTTTGGATCTGTTGATCACTTGTGGAAATGTGCTATTAATTCGCGAACTTCACATTCATCCAGGTCTCTCTGACCATCTTGCTATTACGGCCAAACTTCATCTTAGCCAGCTTCATAGTTCAAAGACACATTGTGACTGAGTTATTACATTGTTGAATAAGAGTAAAAAGCCCATATTACCATTATGTCACTCTGATGCCGCTCTAGTGACAGTTTTCCTGAATATTTTGTTAATAAGATTTTTACCATATGCAATGCTTTTTTCCTCAACTTTTACCCTTTGTATTATTCACATCAGGCACATCTTATAGTTTTTCAATCTACCACTAAGGTTAAAAAATTGGTTTTGAATTCCCCTTCCAAATTGTGAGCTCAATCCTATACTGACAAGCTTGATAAAGGATTGTAGTGATGAGATCATTGCCATTATTGATAGTGTCAATAAGCCCCTCACCCCTGGTACATTTCCTAGTTCTTTAAAGGTTCCTTGTATCCATCCTTTGTTGAAGAAAGCTTGCTTAGACAAGGAAGACCTCAAGAACTACAAACCAGTTTCCAATTTGTTTTTTGGGGGAAAGAAAGCCGAATGAATTGTGTCTTCAAGGTTGTCTGCTCTGATGTGGAACAGTGATCTTGTGGACACACTTCAATCTGCTTACTGGCCTAATCACAGCACTAAGACTACCCTGTTGTGTGTTCTGTTGAATGCAATAGATCAGCAAAAGATCACTGCTCTGATCCTCCTTGATTTAAGTGCAGCCTTCAACACTGTGGACCATGTCATCCTGCTGTCTTGACTCCAAAATATTGTTGGTGCCAGTCTTGAGAGCAGGTAGAAGTATGTGTGGGTAGACCATGTTAAATCTCTGTCTCTGTTGATTTTTCTGTTTCACAAGGTTCTGTTCTTGGCCCACAATGGTTTTTGTCTCTGCATGTTATCAGTTGAGAGAAATCATCTGGCAAATAACAAAATCACATATTTGCTAATGACACACTGTTATATCTCACTTTTGATCATTCACAACAACATTTTGCTTTTGCTTGTTTGTGCAAGGCACCTCAAGCACCTTAATGGTAGATATGTTCTGTGCTTTACAATGCCCATTATTAATATTATATACATACGACATGACAGGCCTCGAAAAAGTACTAGCCAGGTGTACAAATTCTAGCGAAAAATGGTCCGGGCTACCTAAACTTGGTTCCTTGGTTGCCCGGTGGGCTAGTGAAAAATTCAGAATAAGCCTACCCGTTAAAACTTAGATCAAAATATATAATGCTTGTCTTGATAATAAATACAAGATCGTAAAAACTGAGTTGTTGTGGATGTGTTTTTACTTGTGTTTTTGAAACGTGATTCTCGCGTGACAGGGCGATAAGTGACCATGAACGCCATGAACAGAGTAGACTGGTGGGTTGTAGTACTGGTACAGCGTAGCACATGGTACGGCGCGATACCGCACCTGCACACTATTCTCGTTCACTGTTTAGGCCACTTCTGCTTCTGACTACATGCATCTCAAAAATAGTATCGGTAGGTCAGAATTTTGTTTGGTCAATTTTTTGTGCTGATGTAATAGCCTGAATGGAGATGAAAGCTTTCAAAAATTGTCTCAAACAGTGATAAAAACATGTCTTGATATATGTAAAATTTCTGCAGTTGACAGATCACAAGAATTATGGACAAATCACACAATGTTAGTCGGGTAATCATGACAGCAAACTGGCCAGCAATGTCCGTGTATCGCGTGGTAAGCGTACATGATGCATCCAGACGGGCGATAAACCACGTGCCATGGCAGGAACTCGTGAGCACAGAAAATAAATACATAAACAAAAGACCAACTTTTGTGAATTAACTTAAAGAAATTCTCTTGCAACATCCATGTTTTTTCGACCTGCAGCTGTATGGCTGCATGCGTGTATGACACTGATGTAGTTTTAATCGACTCGCAACCGGGGCATGTAAAGACTAGCACATTTCCATCTCGCGTTCTTTTGCATGGGTGCGGCGTGGTGGGAACCAGCGCAACTTTACTTTCATGCATTGAGCTTTGCGCACAAAATTTCACTACTGCAAAACGTGAGTGGAACTCGTGAAAATGACAGAAGTTTTTTTTGAAAATTGCAAATGAAGTAGGAAAACAAATAAAGACAAGCGTTATAACATTAGAAAAGGTTGTTGACAGGTGTTGTGTGAAGACGGAAAAGACACCGGCATTAATTTTTATTTTTAGCTAGCTATACTGGGCATTGCAGGAGTCCTTGAAAGTGTTTGATATGAAAAATTTTCTCTCGTTCATCACGCGCGTGCGGAGGTCAGAAAGTAAGCAAAAAGTAGCATTTTTTGCTAAACGTAAGCAATGAGAGGAAAGATGGAGCAAAGAGATGATTTGGATCCCGGCTCTGTGACCAGTGACTTTTAACTAAAACATACATGCCTCTTTATTTATTTATTACCATCAGCCTTTTATTTTTCGAGATGTCAAATTCTGCATTGGTAAGCTGATAACAAATTTCTGGTTTTAACATTTTTTTTATATACGGACTAGTAAAACTCTAAAAGGGCTAGTAAAATATCCATTGAACTAGCCCAGTGGGCTAGCCAGGAAAAAAAGTTAGCGCAAGGCCTGCATGAATGTCCTCTCCTCGCCTTGATGCACCTGGTGACCAGGAAGACCCAGTATGTTGTAAATTTCATTAAAACATGGCTAGGATGGGATGAAACTCAGAAAAAGTTTTTTTTTCCAGATTGGACTAGGCTGTTACTGTGTTGCTGGCATGTGTATCAAGTTCCCATTATGTTCTCGGCACAATTAAACTGAGCATGAGTCCCAACTCTGCTAAGATGCAATCAGATTGCTCCTATATATATATATTGGTTGAAACAGGGCACCCCATCGGTTCTCCCCAGCCTGAAAGACGGACATGATGCTGCTCTCCTGCAACTTGCTCTCCTCCAAGAACAACAGGCTACGCTTGATGAAACACGCCGATTGTAACACAGGATATACAGGTCTGTGCGACTGCCACTTGTACAAGGTGAGCGTATGATAGCAACA